ACCTCACCATTCAAGTAAAAACGCAAATCAAATTGTTGATTAGGAGACGGTAAAGCAGGATTTGCAGTATACCTTACAGGGTTTGCCGCCGCAACAGTGAGTTTTCCACCCCCTGTACGAGTTGTAACACGAAAGAGTCCTACCGAAACTTGCATACATAGGGCGTATGTCCCTGCAGGAATATTCAACCGTCCAGCAAAGTAGTTTGCCACATAGGATACCAAGTTAAGTCGTACAGTAAACTCAGGCGCTTTTCCGGTTTGTGTATAATACGGCATGTAATTACACTCCATATTTTCATCAATAAGGTCAACGGCTGTGAGACCTTCAGATTTAAGGAAAACAAAAGATGCTCCAACAATTAATTCCTCATATTGTGTCATTTCATGTGTTTGAGTGATATTGTCAGCGTCATATAAATAGTAGAGCTCAGGTAAAATAAAAGTGAGGGGATGACCATCTGCCTCCACATTTCCAATCTCCGTAGTGAATGAGCCACGGGTATAACACACCGCATAATTTATTGCCCCATCCCCAATAAAGCGTACTACACCAATCCACTCAGTTCCACTTTCATTCACTGTTGCAGTTCCTACTGAAACAGTCACTGGATCACCAGCACAAGTATTCGCTCGTACAGTTAGTACATCTGTCTCACTTAGTCCACGACCAACAACCGTAACACTGGAATACATTCCTACTGCAATTGGGTATTTATCAAAGAATGCACTTGATGGATCTGATGGAAGTAAACTAACCTTTGGTGGGGTTTGAATAGGAACAGGTGCCCATGTAGCCTCATTTCGCTTATAACAAAGTTGCATTGTGCAATTTTTACCAGGATTATCACACAAGGTGGGTTCGGAAAGAATATTTCCATTAAAGCGTCTATCGCGATTTGAGACGACCCATGATACACCTGTTCCTGTACTATTTACTTCAAGTGTGCCAGGAAAGAAACTTGGTTTAAACCACTCTCGCAGCGTATCATTACCCTGAAACTCTCCCTTTCGAATATCATGACAGGTGTATCCAATACTTGTAAGCATAAAAATTTCATCCTTCACACCAAGCCCGGTTCCCACCACAGTTAAAGTAACATTTGAATCCTGATTTGTGAAACTACTTGCAGATGATGTCGTAAAGTAGGAGGGATTGGCAGCCGCTACTGTAAGTGTCCCTGGTACACGTCGAATGCTTTCCATAGCGGAACCATAACAAACTGTAAAATTCCCTTGCGGTAAATATTGATTAGGAAATTGAAAACTCATC